CTCTCTCTCTCTCTGTCTCTTACTTTCTCTCTTTCTCAGCAAGACACTGGGAGGCTTTGACTTTGATTAATGGTGAGCCAAGCTCTGCATTAAAAGCCAGGGGCAGCAAGTGGGGCCAGATAAAAGTGGAGCACAGGAGCAAGGGATGGGAGGGATGGAGGGAGGAGAGAGGAGTGCAGGACACAGTCACCAATCACTGTCAGCATCATCGTCCCAGGGTGACAGTGGGGGACGCAGTTGGAGGGGACAGCGGTGCTTCATTGGGCTGAACCTCACCCTCACACAGGCACAACACATTGTCTCTGACAGGCTCTTCACACATAGGCTACTAGGACACATAGACTCACATGCATGTGCACACCCTCTTTATCTCTCCTCGCAAAAACACGGCCACTATCTGTCCAGGGGGACACGGTAGTGAGAAAAGTTTTTTTTTTTCTTCAGGGAAAGTAGTGAGAATTTTTGTTGTTAAGATAAAAGTTAATGATCAAGTATTCACAACTTACACCTAAGCTATCCTAATAATTATACCCTAAAACCAAAAAGTTTTTAGGAACCAAACAAAATAATGCATGAGCTCCTCTGTGTAGGAGTTGCCCTGGCACAGGAGGGTGATGTCTCAATCCTTAATCCCACCTACAAAGTTCTGATTGGCCCAGTTGTTTCTCCAAATGGGGTTACCATCAATAAGCAGACCTATTTGAATCACTGATAAAAGATCTCAACCCAGGCTAGACACTTGCATACATTTAGACAATGGACACATGAAAACATGTATACAAATTCTCCATGGTAAAAAAAAAATGTTTTCCTGTCTTTGTACCTGAATGCATAAATTAAGTTGGGACTTGGATTCGGGGCTGGGGCTGTGAAAATACCTCTCCTCCTCAACCCCTTTTCTACTGCAGGAATTTCTGTGTGGAGTGCCCCTCCCTTGAGTCTGTCAGGAACAGTGTGTGCCTGTGGCCGGTAATTGATAATGCGGCCCAGGCAGCCCTAGCCCTGGTCAGTGGAGCGTGAACCAGCCTGAGAGGCAGAGAGGCTGAAGTGCACCGAGGTGAAGTTTAGCCCTCACACTCTCTGTCTAGGGTATGAGAGAGGGAAAGAGGGAGGGAGGGAGGGAGAGAGAGAGAGAGAGAGAGAAGGAGGGAGGGCAGGCAGGAGGTGAGAGCCAAGGGAGGCAGACGGAACACAATCCATTCACACTGACAGGATAAACAGAGCTCATTCATCTGTTTACATTTGCATATTAGGTAATTATCTGACAATCAAATCAAGAAATACTTGTAGAGAAATTGTAGAGTGATCCGTCCTGCCTACAAAACACGATTCACAAGCAACCACACTGAGTGAAAAGGTCAGGGGCTTTTCTTCTTACAGAACTCCTGTGACCATGGAGTGGTTATGCAAGGGTGAAGTACAAAGAGAAGGAAAAGAAATAGAATAACCATTAAGGAGTTTGATAAAAAGGGATCATTTAGTTGAGATAGGCTGCCATTTGCTGCCTTTTCAATAGAGGAGTTATTCAGAAAGATGGTGAGTGGAGACCAGGTGGAGCTATGACTAGGCCTCAGCAGCGAGCAGGCTGAGAGCCAAGAGGCTGATAGGCACAAAATGTAGAGCATGGGCTTGTGGGGCTGTATTTATGCCTGCAGACATGGGGGTGGAGATTCCTTTCCAACACTGTATACAAACACCAGGGCTTTGAACTTAATATAAGCAGCCACAGAATCATATTTTAATCAAACTTGCTTGTATGTTCACAAATTGGTTTTGATGAGTAAGTTTGGTTGGATTCATCTTTGAGCTTTAAATTAGAGTTTATCTTAGCACCTTGGAGGAGTTTGTGATCATACAGTAGATTTTAGGGGGCATGCCATTAAAGTGATTCATTTGTACATAAAAGCCAAGCAATTTGTAGTTTTATTAGATATTTTGTGACATTTTCATGAACAAATGTCTGCCTCCATCATAGATTTGTGCATCTATACTAACAATTCTACTTAAAGCCCTGAAACTTGGTTTCAAATCCTCTATAATATTTAAAAACTATGATTAAATGAGCAATAATCTAGGAAAAACATCCTTAGGTAGAATTTAATAAGAGCTTAACATTCAAAAACTCAGTTTCATAAGGACTGCGTGCATGTGGTTTGAGTGTCATCAAATTCTGATTCAAATGTTGCCCTACCCTGATTGGTGCTTGAAAGTATGAGACATCACATTTTTCCAATTGAGACCCGCCCACTTCAAACCAGTAAGAAGAGCACAAAGAAAAACACAAATACAGAAATCTCTAAAGTGCAATATATTACAGTTTTGACTTCAGCAATGAAGCAGGACCACATCATTTATTTTAAATAGCTGATGTTTTCAGGGCATTTAAAACCCATTTTGCTGAAAAATCCTCTGCTACACAGGAACTAGTGCATTTGGAGCATCTCCAGCATCAACAGTGGTTTGTTTAGAATAAATAGATGACAAAAAAGCAGTTAGCATGACCGGTGAAAAGACTAAATACATCCAGAACTTAATAGGAATCCAAATGATCCTTGGGAAGTGTATAATGATTTGAATTGTGCAGATTTTAGAAACCAGCTCACCTGCTACTGGCCTAGCCTCTACAGAGAGTGACATGTAGGAAGTTGTCAGCTTGCCCTAGATTACACATATTAACACAACAAATAGATGAAGAAAAAGTGAATATCAGCACCAGGAAAATTTCCTTTTTTTTTCTCCCAGAGGAGACTGTCTGGGGTATTGAACTCCGTCTACACCACTGTCAGCAGTGACACAATATCCACGGATTTGTTAAATGTCAACAGAGGGAAATCTGCCAAGGTATGATAGCAAAAAAAGACATGACATCTGTTCTGACGGTAAAAAATTAGGGTCAAATTCAGTTCAATTCAATTTATTTTATTTCATATAAATAAAAAAAATGCTTTCAGATGCTACATTGGCTCAGATGCAGTTCTTCTTAGACCTGAGTAGGAAACATACAGTGTTCCAGCAGGGTGTAGTAATACTGTACAGAAATTCATGTCTTAGGCCTTTGTAATGCCTACAGTAAAGACTGGCAGTTGTACTTCTGTACACACACACAAGTTAAAACACACATATACACAGTTTTATTACGGATATCTTCCTTCTTTCCAGTAACACAATCTCTGAGTTTCATTTGAAGAGCGACGAGGAACAGGGTTAATTCTGGGTTAATTGACAACTGGTGTGTGCATTCAGGTGTACTGGGCCTGCAGGATGCAATAGACCAGATTTGTCTTCAAAGGATTTAAATTAATGAATAATGTGTAGTATTGGCTTATATGGTCTTTATAATATAGTTTCTGTATAGAATATATATAAACTTATGATGCTTGTTTTTCTGAAGATCCGGTGCAGTCTCCTTGTACCTGCAGAGTGGCAGTTTTATTGGATGCAAACATATATTTTTCCTGCCTGCCCTGTTTAGCAATTTCATGGCTCACCAAGACTTCATTTGCACTGAAATCAGCAGTGGATTGTACCGGGGGGGTGTCGCAATAAATCAGGTGATTCAGATTTTCATAAAGGTTTGCCTGTGTTGCGGCCTATTGTAAGACTGCATATTACATCACAATCAATTTTGTGTCATTTTTGTCAAGTTTCTTCTAGATCTTCTTCTGTTCATGTTATTTTTGCCCATTTCATTTTAACATACATTTCTAATATGACCTATTCTGAATTTATATTGTAAATTTAGTTGCATTTGTGCATAGTCATGGTATCGCTGTCAATGCAAAGGCCCAAATAACTTATTTACATTTCATAAATAATTTTTAAAAATGTAATTACAGTACATTTGTCAGTTATTTTTAGTTAGGCATATTTTTTAGATATAACAAATATTAACAGGTTTAACACCTTTTCTTACTTGACAATTTTTCCAAAGATAATGACAGTCATTACTAAACATTATACTGTGTTGTTTAGCCTAGCCATATGCAGACCAGTATTGCATTTAAAATATAAACCGCCACTTTTGAGAATTTAAAAAGCTTTGGAGCTGTGTTAATTATTGCAGCCAATGCATCTCATGGATGCCACACTGCTCCTATATTCTGCCCAAGTAGCCAAAATAACTCAGTCCAACAGCAGACTAAATCCAACACGATTGGTTGTCGGACTCAAGCCAGACTTGTGGTGACTGACAATTCTGGCGCAAAGGTATCCTGACTGAGTCCTGCTAACTAGAGCTGACACACAGCCGAAGTCCACACCCTCAAATCTTTGCCAAATCAGTAGCCTTATTTTGGCCAAAGCCGGCACATATTTGGTCCTGCAGTGCCAGAATATGGCTGAGTGCAGCTCTAATCGGCCCATCTCAGTTGGTTACCTGGTTACTGATGAGAGTGGCAGTTGTACTGTTTAAACTTGGATTCTGTGCAGAGTACTGATGACTGATGATGATTTCTTCTAGTTACACACATTGGATGATATGTATTTAAATTCTGCACTAGTTTTAAAATGTATCCTTTTCCATCATTCCTGAAATTATTAGTGTGGCTAATGTACCAACTATGATTAGCTGGCAGATAATTAAGGGGTTGTTCCGTAACTGGCTTAATTTATTTTGAATTTAAAGTAAAAAATCAATATGGCTCCAAAAGGCCACAGTTCCACATGTTCATGTCTGGTGAGCTGATCTACACTCTTGCCTAGTGACTGGGGGGAGTAGTGGAAAATCAAAGCAGACTAGTGTCTCACTGTATACTATACTCTCGTACTGCCTGTGGATAACTGAAATTAAAAACTAAATACCTTCTTATTTAGTATCATTCAAACAGTTGTGGTTGAGATATACCTGTTAATATGTTATTCTAGAAATGTACTGATTCTGTGTTACTCTTTCTGTGCCCTACAGCTCCCTCCATAGTTCCCATCATGCATCAGATCAGCTCCACCATGAATAGCTTCACACTGTCATGGCCACAACCTGAACAGCCCAATGGCATCATCCTGGACTATGAGCTGCGCTACTACGAGAAGGTAAGATAAGTCTGTGTGTGTGTGTGTG